CCCCCCCCCACCCCCCACACACAAAAAAAAAAAAAAAGAAAGGGAAATGGACTAAAAATAATGTTGCAAATTGTGTAGTTATCATGGAAAACCAAAGTCTTAAACTTCATTAATTAAGGGGTAGAGAGTCTTAATTAAGACGTGAACGTGGCCTAGGAGAATTGGAAAGGAATGGCCATGGCAAATTCTGTGGAAAAAAAGCCCCTGAGGAAGTATCTTATTTTGGTTGCATGAAGTTCGTCTAACACAAGAACACATGAGAAGAAGGGGACTGAATGATACAAAACACCTATCTTTGCATAGCGGAGTTGCAAGGGAGCTACAGTATATGCTCTTGTTTTACAAGATATGGTGTTCTCTTTGCGCTTGGGGTGATGATGCAGCTAGTGAGGTTCTAACTGAGGCGCGTCTGTTGCTGGTTGAAAAATCATCAGCTCATGTTATATGAGTGATTGACTGTGCACAGAGTTAAGATGTTAAATTAACGTATATTCTATTTTAGTACTAATGGAAGATGGTATTGAAAATATTGTCGAAATGTTAATATGATAAAGAGAATATCAGATCAAAGTTAAAGTTGTTAAAGGCGTATTGAAATGGAATGATGTCGGGCATTTTGAGACATTCCAAAATGCAGAGAGAGATATATAAATTGGGATTGGGAGGTAGTATGGATTTTTAAATTTTTGGGCATCAGTTGGTGATGCCAAGAACTTTCTAGAAGAAGTCTTTTGGAGCTGGTATGGGAAGAAGACTTCAAAACAACTGCTGAAAGCATGATTCACAATTCCAGTCGGCATTGGAAGGAAGGAAAGGAATCTCAAATGTTTGAAAGAAAAGCTTAAGCTCTTTGTCAGACTACCTTAGCTTTTTGTAGATTGTGTTCATGAACTTTTGATTTCATTCTCTCCCTGCAGGGGTAAGCCTGACTTGTTCATAACTTACAGCAGTTCCTTAGTGCTAAAGTTGTGAATACAAAGTTATCTTTTTAAAAAGACAAGGTGTAGAGAGTTGCCAAGATTGCGCCCCCCTCTTCTACCAATATGTTGCAGATTACTCTTTGAGATGAATACCAAACAATTTATGAAATAATGATAAGAGTAGCATGGATCCAGGATCAAATTGTAAAGCTTAATGAGCGTGTGCCACAAACAGAAATGAGCATCGGCTGCTCATGTGCATTTAGTGAACCTGGTAAGAGGTTGATGCTTGATTTTCAAAAGCCCATCCCCTAGGCCTTCTACAGTCCTTTAACAATGTGGGCTAATGGTCAATGAAGTAGGTGCAACCTGGGAGAGCAAGGTTCAAATGTCAGTAGAGACAAAATACTAGGTGAAATTCTTCTCATCTGCCTAAGCCTTGGTGGGTAGAGTTACCCGGTTCCTGAGTTGGTGGAAGGTACCATGTACTTGGTGGAATAGTCAAGATGCGGACACCACCATTTGTTAAAAATAAATAAAGAAGAGATTGGTGATAAGATTCTGCACTCCTTCAAACTATAGAAGGATGTGCTCTTTTTTGATGTATTCTATCAGTACCTTCTTGGTACCTTTTCAATAAAATCTTTACCTTTACATTAAAAAATAAAAAATAAGAAAAAAAGAGACTGGTGATAAGATTCATCTGGTGCAACTCAAGTTAACTGTTGAGTGCCAATGTGGCATGGAAGACATTAGAGGTATCATCCTCTTTGCTCTTGGCAATACTTTTTGGACTCAAAAACATCCATGTTCTTTTAGCCCCTGCAGAATAGGGCCGATAAAGATCACATTTGGTGAAGAATCTCCACCCCTGTTTATTTTAACGGAATGTTTGGGAACTGGCTAAAAGTGGACCACTTTGACAAACATTGTTGACTATTGGTGCTCCAAGTAAAAGAATATGGATGTTTTGAGTCCAAACCCAAAGATAGTGGACAGTTTGGGGCCTTTCTCCAATCCGTTAGTCATAAGTTGTTTAGCATGCAATAATTATATCCATCTCTAGTTTTAAGATGTTTCTGCTCGCTTTGTTTTTTGGACAATTACTGCCACCCCATGTTCGGATGCAGACTGTAACCTATGATTGGAAATTGGGGAAGGTAAGCGATAGGAAAGGAAACTAGAAGGATATGAAATGGAGGAGAGTTATTTTACTTTTGTTTGTTTTGAGTGGAAAATAAGGAAACAACAACAACAACAACAACAACAAACCCATTATAATCCCATAAGTGGGGTCTGGGGGTGGAAAATAAGGAAAGCAAGGGGGAAATGTTTGGCTTTCTTCTCATGAATTTACTTTTACAGGTGCACAGAGAAATAAGATTTTTCCTTAAAATTCTTGTCCTTTTTCTACTCAAACAAACAAGAGGAGGGATCATTTTCCCTTCTTTCTCTTCCTATCTATTCTTTCCGAGAAAGTGTAAATTTCTTCACCGAACAAAAAGACGTTAATGTCTCAATTTGTCTGTTTCGGCCTGTGTACAGCCTTTGAAGTGGGAGCTCAAGCAGAAGCCTGGACTCAGCCCTCCACGTGGTGGGTTCAATCTTGATGATCCCAACCAACAGATAGTTGCTGAGGACATATTTGATGAGTACGGAGGTAACATCTTCTTCCCATGGCCAGTGGTAGCTCAGGTTAAATTCTTTTATAGTGTTATATGTATACTGAATCCTAATGCCCTGTTTGATGTGCAGGATTTCTTACTGCGGATAATGTACCTGATTTGCTGGCCAGCTTATCAAGCAAACCAAATAAGAAAAAGAAGTCCAGTAAGAGCAAGCACAAAAAGCGGTCTTCACCAGCTAGACCAGATTTACGTGATCAAGAAGAAATTACTTCATCTTCGGATGTTGATGATAGAGGAAGAACACTGAAGAAGAAAAAGCACAAGAAGAAGTCTCGAAAGCATTCTGTGTCTTCAGAGGACTCTGATAGCCATCGGAAATGTAGTAGTAACCGACAGAGACATTCACTGTCAACTAGGAGAAATCATTCTGAGTCAAGTTCAGAGGACGATGATAATGACAGGCATCGGAAAAGGAGTAACAGACACAGACGTTCACGGTCAAGTTCACCTGAGCGTGAAGATAAGGAACACAGGAAGAAGAATCATAATGAGTCAAGTAGGGAAAGCATTCCGAGTCAAGTTCAGAGGACGATAATAATGACAGGCATCGGAAAAGGAATAACAGACACAGACGTTCACGGTCAAGTTCACCTGAGCGTGAAGATAAGGAACACAGGAAGAAGAATCATAATGAGTCAAGTAGGGGAAAGCATTCCGAGTCAAGTTCAGAGGACGATAATAATGACAGGCATCGGAAAAGGAATAACAGACACAGACGTTCACGGTCAAGTTCACCTATGCCTGAAGATAAGGAACGCAGGAAGAAAAAGCATTCTGAGTCAAGTAGGGGAAAGCATTCCGAGTCAAGTTCAGAGGACGATTATAATGACAGGCATCGAAAAAGGAATAACAGACACAGACGTTCACGGTCAAGTTCACCTGTGCCTGAAGATAAGGAACGCAGGAAGAAAAAGCATTCTGGGTCAAGTAGGGGAAAGCATTCCGAGTCAAGTTCAGAGGACGATAATAATGACAGGCATCGGAAAAGGAATAACAGACATAGACGTTCACGGTCAAGTTCACCTGTGCCTGAAGATGAGGAACACGGGAAGAAAAAGCATTCTGAGTCAACTAGGGGAAAGCATTCCAAGTCAAGTTCAGAGGACGATGATAATGACAGGCATCGGAAAAGGACTAACAGACACAGACGTTCACGGTCAGGTTCACCCGAGCCTGAAGATAAGGATCGCAGGAAGAAGAATCGTCACTACCATCATCATCACAGTCGGCACAATCATTCTGATTATTCATAACAACGAAGTTATATCATCTAGCTGTTGCCTCCTATAAAAGAGCTCCAAAACCTACTAGTGATGCAAAAGCAGTAAAGGGAAAAATGGTGAGCCACGTTAAACTGATGGAAGGAAAGTAATAAGTCAAATCATGGAGTTAGCTTCTTGCACCTCTGTATCTATGCAATGTTTTCATCTTGTGTGGCTATCATATTGGGATTCTTTGGCTTCCTTTTTTAGGTTACTAGCCCTTATGCTTCTCCTAATGCAGAGTGAATGCAAATTCTACTATATAGAAGCCGCTTGGAAGCAGGTGGAGGTCGTCATGCCTGCTTCCCAAGGGCCACTTTTGTCTTTTCGTAAATTTTGCTAACAGCTAACACGCGTAGGGTAATTTTGACAGGTGGTGCGATATAGGGACTCTCACTGCCAACGACTAATCCCTCCCTGTTCATCCTCTTTCTTTCTGTGCTTCATCTTCGATTTCTTTCTATCTCACAGCGATTAATTTGTTTCATCTTCTGTCACCTGACAGAGTGAGTAATGAATTTGGTTTCACTGTAATCTATGAGATTGTTCAGAATTATGTAAGCTCTTCCTTGCTTTGATACCAATTTCGCTGCTCCTTTTTATTTATCCTTTAATAGAAATTATCTGTACTGTACCTTCTCCTTCAAAGTTGGATTATATGGATCTCATTGGTGTTTTTTTTGGACTTCCCAGGGTTATCATTATTGAAGTATTTGCTTAAATGTCTTCTTCGTACTTGGTTGGTAAATGTTGCGCACCCCATGCATCTCTAATTGAGGGTTTTATTTTTCAAATTTCTCAATTTTAGTCCAAGTTGTCTGTGGTGTGCCCTTTATTTTGTTCAATTTTGGTGATTTTTTCTCTATTCTTGCTTTCATTCAATGTCATTTGTTATTGCTACTGTAGTCTTGGTGTTGGTGGGTATCGGCTACAGGCTATGTTCTTTTGGATAGTGTGCTATTGGATTTTTACATACATGTCAGCAACTTTATCCAATTTGCACGATGTTGTACGGAATATGTTTGATAATATGCTTGTATGAACTGCCTTTGCACTGCATGGAAGAAGCTATTTATAATCTTTTCCTATTTCTAATAGTCATGTGAATGGTGATTTAGTGAAGCATCTCCAAGTTATATTTTCAGTTCTGCTTTGCCTAAGCATTTTTTTGTGATACCAAGAACAGAATTTTTTTCGTTTGTCTTCACGCTTATTTTCAGAAGAAGTTATTTTCTTCTCAAATCTATGTGGGTATCTCCCAAGATAAGTCCTTTATGAGGTTTTAAGTTTTATTGAAGTAAATTCCAAAAGGAACTCTTAATTTGAGGTGTTTCCTTTATTTGGCTCTAATGTATTTTTCTTCTGAGTGTTATTATCGTTTCTATGATTTTTTTGTTGGTGGTACTGATATATTGTCGTTTTTTGTCTTCTTGAGCCAAGGGTCTATCGGAAATAGCCTCTCTACCCTCTCGGGTAGAGGTAAGGTCTGCATTCACACTACTCTCACCCGACCCCACTTGTGGGATCTTACTGAGTCATTGTTGTTGTTGTATTTTTCTTCTGAATAGCAAAAGGAATAAAGAAACTTATGTTTTGTCTTTGTAAAAAAGAACAAGCTCCACATGATTTACTAGGGTCAAAATCTGTTTTTTGTACTTATTTAGTAAATTTTGTGTATATATATATATATATTGGGTTACAATGAGCCCGTAACAATACATATAAACTACATCGGTCATCGTCCCTGCCAACATTTTATAGGGAAAAAGACTTGCTCCTGATTGATAAACTAACAAAAAGAAAATAGAATGCACCTCATCCGGCACTTAAAAGGCACAATTGAGGATGTTACCATGAAAATAAGAGTATCATGTGGAGATAGCATGTTCTAGAAGGCGAATATTTAGCTAAAGATAGTCATAGAAAGCCTCTTTTATCAGTATCATCTTCCGCATATTCTATATATGGCCTTCTATCCTAGGTAGAAGAGGAATATGCTTCAAGTGTTTGTTCCATATTTTGCAGCTTCAAATTTATTCACCTTAAATTGTTGCAAAAATTAGTGATTTGTGCTGATTGTTGGTGGAAGACAGACCTAAAAGAGAGCTCCCTAACGGACAACATATGTTGCTGAAGGTTTATTTCAGATTTGCTCTATATTATGGGAGTTGGGTGTTCAACATAGAGTCGTGTTCAGCATAGAGTCGTGTAAGTACTGCTCTTAGTCATGTTGTCATTTATTGTTGATTTTTTAAACCTATTTCATGTTTTTTCAATTATATTAGGAAGCAACTGCCCATTAACGGAAGGGAAAACTCCTTTAAAGGGCTATTGAAAGGTACTTTGTATTTTTTTTTCCCGCATGCGCACAAGAAACCTTCAGTGCTTTAGTGATGCTACCTAGAACGTGACGTCCTAATTTTTCTTCTCTCTTGGTTTTGTGTTTCCTCTGCTTCTCATTCTTTATTTTATCAACTTTGTGATGATTTGATATCTGTTTTCATATTCCAATTCTATTTTCTTAGCTTTTTCATGTCTCAACTGAGAGCTGAATTAAGTAACTGTTATTGTTTCTGCCAATTGATTTTAATACATAATATTATTCGACCACTTTTCACTGTTAACTTGAAACCAGATTCTACAAATTTTGAAACAGATATATTGGGGTTAACTGAGTTGTAGTTGCATATTAATCGCAATCAGGGTGTTTGACGCTATGCCTTAAACAATCCAAATGTGATTTTTATAAAACATTCCATTTAGATGTTGCGTCCCACTTGTTACTTTGTTTTTTGAATTTTCATTGTGCCCTTCTGTGGAATTTCTTATGCATAACTATTTGAACTTCTGCTTCACAAACTATGAAATTATTTAAGCTCTTAACATCATTGAAATAGTTGTGCAACTGTGAAATAATGTCTCTTAACTCTAGGGAAGACCAAGCAAAATTCGTTATCTGGGGAGAGAGACTTTACAAGTAGCAGAATTGATAGTACTAACTATTGAGTCAATATGAGGAATATGTTAGAGATAGAACATCGCCCCTGCAGAATTGAGATTCCTGTATTAATCAAGATACTAGGCGCGTAGCAATATTAAGTTCTAACTTTTATGCGTAAGGCGGGTATTGATTTACAACATCTACTATAAGCAAAACTGATAAATAATTTTATGATGTTAATATAGTAAAAAAGTCAACAAGTACATAGGTTTAAGTAGTTGTAATCCTGTCAAGAAAGTAAACCAACCACTATGGTGTGGTTGATGGTGTCCTATTGCTGTTTGTCATTTACCTTTAGGACTAAAACAGCATAAAAATCTTTGAAATAAATTCCACATGCAAGAAATTAAGCCCTGAAATGTTCTTAGTTTGCTGGAATTTTAGATGTTTGTAGCATTGCATGAGTAGTAAAAAATGATTGCACGTTTGGGTAACTTGCAGGAGGCAATTCATCAACATCATTGTGTGTATAACTTCATAATTTGCTGAATTTTCAAAGCTATGCTTCGGGCGAGCTACAAAAAATTAATTAACAGCAACATCAACCGCATGGTACTTAATGAATTTCTTATCATTTTTTCCGTACTTTCTTATGCCTCTATAGTCCGGCTTAAATCGTTTTACAACAACAACAAGCCCAGTAATTTCCCACAAGTGGGGTCTGAATCTTCTTACATGTTAATAATTAGGAATATTTAATATGCTTATGTGAAAGGTTTTAGCCTTGAGGATGAAGAAGTCGCATTTGAGATGACAAATATCGCCAGCTATGGTGAATTATAATAACTTAACGTATAATATCTTCAGGTGCCTTGCATCATATCGTGTCAATATGTGGATAGTTTATATGTAAATAGATTACTCTCACGTCTTTTTTTGCAAGAACATATCCCTGAATGACTTTTGTACAACTTAGAACAATCATGTTCCTAAAGAAATGTATTAGTATGAAACGATCAGTATGCAACACTATCTATATTTGATTCGATATTATGTACATTTTTTGGTCTCTTCTTTTTTCTGTAAAAATTCATGTAAATGTAAAGGTGATCAAGATTAATTAATTCTCTTACTTAAACAATCAAAATGAGAATGTTATGACAGTTTTTACAATATTGGGCCCGCAACGCGGGCCAGAACCCATCTAGTTTATGGAGAAAAGTCCAAAACAGTTCGGTATCTTTGGACTTGGGTTTAAAATGGTCCTATTTCTTATACGTGAAGCACTAATATTCCATATTTTTTTATAAAGTGGTGCAGTTTCAGTCTTTGAACCAAACCACCGTGAGAACTCTAACGGAAGCCACATATAGCACGAGCCTCTATCACGTGTTTTTTTTCTTTCAAAAACAACAGAATTCTCTCAGCATCTTTGAACAAAAACCATCGAACTTGTTACCTTCTTGTCCCAATTTATTACAACCCTAGCTTGCAAATTGGTGATGATTTTAGCTGAAGAGAGCGAAATCTTGTGGTGGCCAACTTATCTCCACAAAAAAATGTGTGTTGCTTCGCTGCTGGAGAGAATGTCAAGAAAGAAGCATGCAATTGTCAATATGAGTTGTTTCGGTTGAAAGATTCATTTCATGGAAATAATGAAAACAGTCTGGAGAATTACTCAAAGAAGTCTGTGAGACGTGTTTGTATGATTGTAAGATTTTGAAGTTTTGCGAGTGTTTTGTAAGTAGTAGACTGAATTATCATATTGTGGTAAACGAATTTGTTCTTTGAAAAGCTGTCTAAGCATTGAGTGTGTTGTTTGATTCTAGCTTAGAGGAACCAGCTTCTTTAGAGCCCCTCCTCACCTGAGCCTGAGGTATGGAATTCTCACGGTGTTTAGTTAAAAATATGGACTATTGTGCTCCATGTATGTAAAAGAAATAGGACTATTATCTTGGAAAAGGGTTTTTGCAAAGACTTTGGGTGCCATTTCGGAGAGTGTGGGCGTGTATTTGTTTCAGTTGGTTCATAAGAAATGTTTCACGCGTCAATGCACCATGCAAAAGAATTTTTTTTTTAATGAGAAATTTCTCAAGACCAACTAAACTAATTATGCAAAAATCTACCTTATAAGAGATCAAAAATTTTTACGAATGAAGACAAAGAGGGCATTTTTATAGATATTTTCAAATGCTTCTTTCACTTGTAAAACATTTACGAATGCATTTTTATCATCTTTATCTGCGGAACGGGCTTAGGATTCTCACCAAGAGTTCAAAAGCAACAAAAACAAGTATTTCGATATTAGAACATATATATGTGTGGGAAAAATCATTAAAATTTTAAAAGTGAGAGCGATAAAAATAAGTTTTTTTTTGTGTCGTGATAAAGAAATTTTGAGAAAAATTATCCCGGTGTCGGATTTAAAGCACGTTATCTCAGCAAGTTATGGTGATTGTCAGGATTTTGCCACAAATATTGACATATCGTTAAATTTTTTTAGCATTATGGCTAAATTCTCGATGCTTCAAAATTCTGGTGATTGTCAGGATTGCTTCAAAAATTTGGCCAGACTATTTTTTTCAAGATTTCTCTTAATAGATCAAAATTTAAATGGTGGTCCTAAAAAGGACATTATAATTTTTTGGTTTAAAAATGTATTAAATTTGAACTCATAATTTCAAAAGTATATTGATTTCATTAAGTTTAGATATTTGATCCGCTTCCGTGTATACACACAATGATGTATTTGTTTTTTGAAATGCAGACTTATCATATTGACAACAAAGATTTTCCAAAGAGAGAATTAAATTGAATCTTTTGGGCACGTTACTATCACTAGTTGAGGACAAAATTTAATTGGAAAAATTGCATCAAAATTGTTTGAGCTTGCGTTTATTAAGTGGATCTTTCGGTATCTTTCTAAAATAATTAGAAAGCAGACTTTTGCACTGTGATTCATCAAAAGGACAGGTTAATGCAATTTATATATGCATTGTTACAAACAAATACATAAAATTAACCCAAAATGACAGAGAAAGTAAACGAGAAAAAGGTCAGTGTCACCCGTTTCGTCTTACACAGTTCTATTTAACGACATCGTTTTTATCTCCAGATAATCAAATTTTCTCTTAAACCCTACTCCTCCCGTTCCGAACAAACTAACAAAACAATGGCTCTCTTCCGAGCTCGAATTGCTTCTTCTTCTCTTCTCAGCAATGTCATCCACCGCTCTTTCTCTACCAGTAAACTTCTCTATATTCATTTTCATCTCTCTCTAAATCAATACAAAATCTCTGCAATTTAACCTCTCTTTTTTTTTTTTTCAACTTACAGGTCCATTTGAAGCGTTGGCGTCCAAAATGAAACCGTCAAAGGAGCTGGAATCAATGATGAGCCATGAGATAACGAAGAGCAGTATGGTCTGTGTACCCTATCACCTTGGATCCCAACAAGTAAGCCCGAAATTTCTCAAAGGCATAGACAATGGCAAGAAGTTCTTGCTCAGTCACCGTGTAATTCATCTGCGCTCCATTGAGTGTCTTGCTTGCATAATAGACCGGGTGAAGAACCTNCGTTAAATTTTTTTAGCATTATGGCTAAATTCTCGATGCTTCAAAATTCTGGTGATTGTCAGGATTGCTTCAAAAATTTGGCCAGACTATTTTTTTCAAGATTTCTCTTAATAGATCAAAATTTAAATGGTGGTCCTAAAAAGGACATTATAATTTTTTGGTTTAAAAATGTATTAAATTTGAACTCATAATTTCAAAAGTATATTGATTTCATTAAGTTTAGATATTTGATCCGCTTCCGTGTATACACACAATGATGTATTTGTTTTTTGAAATGCAGACTTATCATATTGACAACAAAGATTTTCCAAAGAGAGAATTAAATTGAATCTTTTGGGCACGTTACTATCACTAGTTGAGGACAAAATTTAATTGGAAAAATTGCATCAAAATTGTTTGAGCTTGCGTTTATTAAGTGGATCTTTCGGTATCTTTCTAAAATAATTAGATATTCTATAGGTAAGTCCATAATATAAATTAAAGAAAAAATTATAATACTAAAAAGTTAAAATAAAATAAAAATAAGATAAATTTTTATAATTTTGAGGGATAAAATAGGTATTTGGTAATACAAAATTTGGAAAATCTAAGTTGAGTGACCTACTGAGTGT